CAGCAGGATCTTTGCTCTGTATCTTTAATGGCCTTCTGCAAAGGTCAAAGAATAACAAGCACATGTTTGCTTGTGATTTGAGACTAATCTTTGGAGCGCCACTGAAGTGGAGAGCTCAGGTAACCATCTTGGCATGGGTTAAGGCTGTAGTTTGCGTGATGCAGAAGGCTAACTCATCCTTGGATCAACGCCGCGTCAGGCTCCTCATGAGCGCAGTGGGTCTGGGCTGAGCTAAAACCAGCGAAGTAGAAGGAAAATGCACAGGGCCAGCTTTGTGTGCTAAAGCATATGCCCCAGCCTGCTCTCCACCTTGCTGTGGAAAAGAGATCTCCCGACATAGCTGAAGAGTAGTCCTTCCCAGCAGCCTTTTTTGCAGTTAAATTTGAAAAAGCTAATAGTCAATGCTCAGTATTTTGGGACCTAGTGGGATAACTGCAGATGAGAGGAAGCTCCCTTATTGTTGGTTAGGCAGTCAATGCTTCACCAGTCTGCAGCCAGATCACTTCTCGTTCTGGTTAAATGGAATATAAATAAAAGGGTTTTTAGAGATGCCTCAATTGTAAAGGATTTAACAGAACAGAAACAGATTGGAGCTTTGCTAGCTGTTCTTCTAGATCTTTAAAATATATATAAGCAATATTAACTTTTTGACTATGGTACTTTGAGGGGTTTTACTCTTCTCCCTCCCCAACCCCCCCCCCCCAAAAAAAATTCACAACTCTGTTTTGTTTCCTCTGTTTGTTTCAGTGAATAGTTTTTCACCTTTATCCATGCTTGTAACTAGATTATTTCCCAAACGAAGGCCCCTTAAAGTGATCAGGCTTTCAGAAAGTGAAGAGCTTTGCTCCATCTGAGGGAAATTGTTTTTTGGGTTTTGCTTGTTTTTTGAAGATGCAGGATTACACCTTTTGAAGTCTTTGGAACATCACTGTGCATCTTTCTGGGTCTGGGAGTAGATTGCTCTCGAGTGAGTGCTTTTGGGGGCTTTTCTGCTATGCAGGTGCTTGTCTGTAACTCTAGAAGTCATTTGATGTTGTCCCAGAGACCTGCTAATGAGGAGATGCTGATGTTGGGCCTATAAAGGTAGGAGCAACCAGAGGACATGTAAAACCCTCGTATCGGTGGACGTTCAAGTCCTACCTTGCCATGAATTTTTCAAAGTAGCCGGTATCATCAGCTAGGTCTTTGTTTGCATGCTGGGGTGTAATTACCAGATTACCCTTTGTGCTGGGTGTCCTGTTACTTTGCTGAGCATCCCCGAGTTGCATGCAAGGTATGTTGTTTAGCAGTGTAACCTAAGCTACCTGGATACAAAAGCATGCTCCATTTAAAAAAAAAACAACAAAAACAAAAAAAACCTAAAGTGGAGAGAGAAGCCTGTGCTGGGATCATCTTTCAGTTGCCCATAATCTCTGCTGCCACTGAAAGCATCCTCGCCTTATGTAGCGAGGACAGCTAGCTAAGTCATGGCATGAGTTGCAGGTGCTCCTGGGAGGTGTCACTCTCTAACTGATGTTTGATCTGGTGTTTAACCAGATATAAGGAAATCACAGGTGCTTTCCTGACTCTGAGACATGTATCTTGTTCCTTATCAGACTGCTGCAGCTGGGGTTAGAGGTAGCTACAAGAAAGCCAGTGCTGACTCAGAGTTAAAATGATTCTTGAGGAGCCTCAAGCACTGCTGAAGAGCCTCGTGCTTCTCTCTGTTTGGGAGATATGTGTGAGCCATTAGGCCAACTCTTGCTGCATTTTAATTTACATTTTTACAATTAAACAGGCAGTTGATAAGATTGACAAGAAAGATATGATTTTTAGGAGCTTGCTATAGAGAGACCTCCAGACTCTTTGGATGATTTGAAGAGGGGTAGGATATGAAGACTGCTTTCCTGTGTGGGATTAGTATAATCAGGACGAACGTGCTCGCTGACATAACTGCGGCAAGCTGACTTAAAAGCAACTTAGCATTCATTTAAATGCAGGAGCCGTAGTATTTGACAAATCCTCAGCTGAATGCAGGAGAATATTCCAGTCCGACTTCTTTCTTTTCCTGTTCCAGCAAGAGCAATCAATCAGATTTAAGAAAAGCGCTTTTCTTAGCGATCACCTACAATTAAGGGGGCAGCAGTAGAAAAAGTATCCGGGGGCATCAATTATAATTTAACTTGCACTGCCCTCTTCCTCTACGTGTGAGGTCTGGGTACTGTGCTGTGTCGTTTGTGGGAGGTATATTGTAAAAACGCAGGGTTTTTTCCGGCTTAACATTGGAGAGTCAGCTCCCTCTACGGTCAGAAGAGGGAGAGACACCTTCCTTCGGGGGCTCTTTCAGTTTTCGCTGCGCTCTGGAAGAAGTGGGAGTTGTCTGTCTAGTAGCTATAGAGAAAGCCTTGCCTCTTCCTAAAGCCGTGGTGTAAATCCCACTCAGGGTGGTAACCCTCCTCACAAGAGCTGCGATTTGGATCATCGATTGCTCTTTGGATGGCATGACACAAGGCGCAAAAGCGTTTGCATATGAATAAAAATAACAAGGACTCGAGTGGAAGACAGGGTTCTGGGCTGAAAGACAAGAAGAGAGCTTGAGCTGCCTTTGTGTTGAAGCCTGGCAGGAGGTGGAGGTGGCCCAGCATGGTTGGAGGCACTCGCAGGATCATCTGCCTACAGGTGCTGGAGGTGGGCTTGAGCTTAAGGCAGAGCAACTGCAGTGCAGGTTTTTTCAGCCAGCAGCCTGCTGCTGTTTGCTGGGATTTTGAGCCTTGCTTATCAAATCGTAGGAACCCTTTACAACAATTGCAAAAAGATGTGGAGATGGGTTTTTTTTTTTGCATCCCTAGGTGCTGAGCACAGCTCAGTTGTGAGACCCAGGGGCCTCCTGGCAGAGCAAGGCACGGTGCAGGTAGCAGTCCCTCCTCTGTTGCTTTGGGTGCTCAGCTGGAGGCTCAGGCCAGGAGCGTGGTCACCTCTGGTGGGTGGCAGCAGGAGGGTGAGGGACACCTGAAGGTGACTCAGCCCGCTTGTGGCAGGGATAATCCTGTGGCTGAAGTAGCTCTCTCCAGGTGTGGCTGCGGGAAGACTCTGCTCCTGACTTGGGCACTGCACTTAAATGGGATAAATCCAGGCTGTGTCACGCAGCCAGGGCCTCGGATCAGCTTTTAAGCAGTTATACTATTTTATGCTAATTCCCACCAGTTCATCAGTGGGGCTGTTGAGGGTAGTCTGCTGTCATTAGACATTGGAAGGGGACTGTAAGTGGTGTTACATGTCTATGTACCACATCTAATGGCTGCAGCTGTAGGAACAAGGTCCTTAGTGATCCTCAGAGATAACAAGCTAATATGCATGAGTGCATGCAGATATTAGCACAGCTTTGCAAGTGGGGCTTACCACCATAAATATGAGACTGTTAGCTGATTCCCAGGCACTGGTTTTAAAACTGGCTCTCAGTAACGTTTTTCCCCAATGAGGCTTAGTTTGCTGTGTGATGTGGGATAGGCAACATTTTATCACCATTATCTCATGTGCTTAGGACTGGTATCAGCCCTCCAGGCCAAAGACGCAGGAATACAGAAATTGTTCTGTGTATACATGACATCTGAGAGAGTCTTTGTCCTGTTTGTTTTTGGTAGCTCACCTTGCAAAATGCTGAGCCTTTCCTTTTGAAAGGAGAGCTTTCTGTTTCTTTCTCTGCTGCCTCCAGAACAAGTCTAAGATAATTTTTCACTGGCAAGAAGCTCTGAAGAAATCAGTGGGAAGCAAATTGCAACACTGAAGAAAGAGCAGTTTGAAACTGAATATTGCAGCCGTTGTGAGCCCGGGACCACGAGGTAATTGTTGCAGCAATCCAAATCCACTTGGAAAGGTGCCTCTGATGGGGAGCGTTGCCTCTGCCCAGGCCTTGGCAAGTGTGGGGTTTTTTTTTCTTTGAGTTCAAACAGCTGCTCCTGGGAAGAAGCTAGAAGCTGTCTCAGTTGTGGTTTAATTGTCTGGAAACAGTTTGTCTTGCTTCTAGCCTGGACTGAACTTATTCCACTGAGGGAGTGGAAAGGACCTTGCTACATTTATGGCTTAATCCAAGTATTTTAATATCTACTGGGCAAATTCAACGCAGTGATAAAACCTTTGCCATTGCCTTGGGAATTAGTGCCCTGTGGACTTCACAGGCTTTGTTTACTTTTAAGGTTTATTTTGCAACTCCTGAGAAAGTCACTTGATGTCATAAAAGCCCCATGTTTTGTGGTGCTGTTAACATCCTGCTCGGACAGCTGGTCAGAGCCAGCAGGCAGCAGGATGTGGTAACTCATGGAATTACTCCGAACTGGGCTGGATCCCAGTGCTCTAGATGGCGAAACACTGCTGAAGTGCTTGTGCAAGCACTACTAACCATAAAGAGACAGCTACAAGTAGGAGAGTCTTGCCAAAATCTTTCTGGTCTGACACACTTTTGCATGTATTTTGTGCTATGCAGTTAACTCAAAGTAATATAGTGATTCCCCAAGCTGTTTATTGAATGAAGGGGCATAATACTAGGAAGGGTCACACAGGTTATCTAACCCAGGCCTTGGTGCTTGTGCAGCTGTGGAGGAAAGTCCAGGGTCAAAACCTCAGCTCTGCAGGCTCCTGGGCTCCTGTGACCCCAGCGCAGAGCCTGGGGACCAGCAGCCATGGACTGCAGAGAGCCTCCGGAGGGCTTTGCCAGGTGGTGTTCCCAGGGGACTTTGTGGTTCATGCCCGGGGCTTTTAGGAACTGAAATTGGATCTGACCTGACTAGGAGCTTTTCAGTTTGTATCCTCCATCTCCTGAATAACAGAATTTTGGGGGAGGGGAGAAAAGTCTCGTTGCTAAGAAGCAATGAAGAAAGCACAGGTGGGAAGAGACAATTACATATATATTATATGTGTGTGTGTGTATATGCATAAATACACATACAACCCCCACTAGGTATTCAAAAGGTGCTGGTGGTAGAAAGAAACTCTACTGCTCTATTCTGAATCCAGGCAATATGTGCTCTGTAGCAATGTGACCCTACTTGCTGCCGGGCTGTAAAGAATGAGCTGTTGAGGTTGTTGCTGATGGGAAAGGACTGCAGATATTTCATTCCCCATTGCTGCCTTGAATGGCTGAGAGTAATAAAGCAGATATGTGAAGAAAAAATCCGCCTTGGATGAAGACTCTTTTGCAGCTTCCCTGGACTCTGAGCATCCTCGACAGCGAGGACTGCAGTGTGGTACCAAACTCCTGTAGGATTCCACTGAGAACGCCAGGGACTACTTCATAGAAACAATATATTTGAAGTCTAATTTTTTGGGGGCACCTCTTGGTGCACGTCTAGAAGGCTTTCCTGGGGCAGTAGAGACTGGGCTTGATGGTGAAGTCACACGCACACAAACATACTGGCAATATGGTACATCTTTCCTTTTCTGAACTGTCTGCAGCGGAGTTTATTAGTGAAAAAGTCGAGGAAATTCTTGGGCCTAGCTACAGTGCTGTGGGAGAAGCATTTTGGAATGGCAGTGACACAGTGCCATTTAAATGTCTTATTTTGTATGACAGTCCTGTTTTTTTCCTTGCAACAAACCAGGCTTGTGTTTCAGATTAGAGTCCTTTTGCAGTGCTTTGATGCCACTGATCTTGGTAATAGATCCACTGCATTCAGACAGAAGCAGCACAAGGTCGAATAGGACCAACTGTCAGATGCACAGGGGTGAGAAGGGATCTTGGGTTGGGTAACCCATCTTGGGTTATTCAAGGAGTTGAACGTTTGCTGTTGTCATCTTGCAGTACGTGGTGTATAATATGAACAGCTTTGTACCTGATAGGCTTCTCTATTGCCTTTGGAAAGATGCGTTTTTTTCTATTTTGGAAAAGAAAACAAATCTTGGAAATACATATGGGGCTACAAAGCTACACAGGAGAAGAAAAACTACCTCTTTTTTCAAAAGAACTGCTTTGGAGTGATTTTTCTCTCTCCATTTTGAACTATCATTAAGTGAAGCAATTTCCTAAATATCTGTGGGAAGATGTTAAAATGTATTACGCTGTCTTCTAATTTCTGGAGAGGTTATATAAAATCAGAATTGTGTATATTAAGTGACAAATACAACATGCATAAGGTAAGTCTCTATTCTGAGTGCTCATATTTCAGCACTTTCAATACTTTTGAGTCCCTGAACAGCATTAGAAATAAAAGAAAGGTCACCTCTTAAAGCCAGCCTCAGTGTAAATTTAATTGTTTATCATTTAGAGTTAAAGTATAATTTTCTATAAGGTGAGAACTTATGTTGTTTGCCAGATAGGAATGTTTTATAGCTCTTGCAGGAGCTGAGCTTATTCATACACAAATGTTGCAATTAAGATTACAGGAAGGAAGCTCTGCTAGTGTAGAAAATAGATACTGTTCTTGATGTGTTTATGTATAACTGAAACAAATCAGCTGGAAAATTCCAGGTTAAAACAGACATTGTAGTTTTACATGAATCCACACTAAATTTTCCTTGCAAGGATTCTTTGAGCTCACTTCCATGTATGTTTTTTTGAGTCTGTATTCTTCACATTGAGTTTGTTTTCTAGTCCTAATCCTCCAAAGCTATATCCCCAAACTTAATTTTATGCACCGTAAGTTCTTTGAAGTTTGTGCTGTACTTTGAGCTTAGGCTTAGAGCCTCCATTCAGGACCAGACTTGCCTCCAAAGAGTTTCAGGGTAAGCCAGGGCAAGGAAGCTTTTGTTGAGGAAGGTCTAAATAACCACATATTCATGGAGCAGCTGGGCTGGATGTGCCATACCCCCAGCCGCTGGACTTGGGCTGTGTTAACAAGCTGGGTGTTTTTACTGGAAACGTGGGAAACTTGTTCAAACTGTTTGCGGGGACCATCTGTTCAACTAATTGTGCTTCTTTTCTGCTCCTAAATAGTTCAGTCAGATTTATTTTAGTACTTAAAATGATTCCGTTAGCTAGGAAGGTTTTTATGAGATTTCCTGCTAGCTCATGCATGAATCTGCCCTGTACTGGTTATGCGCATGTTCACTGTATTTCCCCCTTGATCAGGTAGGTGAAAGGATGGGTAAGCAGGTATGGATAGCGTCTCCTCCCTGGGCCTTTCATGTCCTCCAAACAAGCAAGAAGCAGCAGTCAGAGGACTACTATTCAACTGAAGCCTCAGTTAAAACACTAGCTGGGAATGCTTGTCACTTTAATTTTACTGGCCCCGCTTTTATACTTCAGATTCATGGCTTTTGTCAAAATCAAACAAAATGGCTCCACGTTCCTGCTGTGCAGCTGTGAGCTTCAAATTTTCTGCAGGGTTGGGCCCTGGAGAGTCTGAGGAGCACTGCTGCGGGCTCTGGCATGGCTGCACGAAGGGTTTGGCTGGCACAGTGGGGTGGAGGGGCCCTTGGAAGTCCAGATCTGCTGACTTGACCACTGTTTGGGCCTCTTGGGGTAGCTGGCAGCTGCTAGCAACTCCCCAGCACCACATACTGTGGTCTTTAATCAATCAGCAGGGATGCATGGAGAAGAAAGGAGTCTGGGGAGAGGCACAGCAGCATGTTCATCAGGATCTGGTCTAGGAAGCCACTGTTTCTTGCCTACATGTCCTACAGGCTGGGGCTGGCTGGAGCAGAGGTGGCAATTCCTGCCTGTTGCTGAATTGGGGAGCGATGCTTATCGGTAGGGACACGGGCTTTTGAATGAAATCCCCATTGCTTCTTCCTGTCTCTTAGCCCACGCTTTCTTCCCTGGATTGCCAGAGCTGAGCCAAGTGGGGTTGAATAGGTGGAGCTGTTAAACTGCATCAACAATGCAATATGCTTTTAAAATAAACACAAATATTTAAATCTGTGCTCCTGTCTCTGCCTTGTGAGGCCCTCTGACCAATGTGTGCTGAAGTCGGGGTGCTGGCTCCTGCTGCTGCATCGCAGCTGCCTTGGCTCCTCTTAGCCGGCTGGTTGCTGCTTGCCCGCAGATGTGGGCGGTAGAGCTGGGGCAGAGGGAAGGGAGAAGTGTTTGTTCCATTGGGAAAGCTGTTATAATCCCCTCTTTCCACTAGTCCATGGAAGGAGGGGGGAAAAAAAGCACTTTTCCCCTTCACACTTGACTGCTTTCAGCCTTGACTTGATCAGCCCTTCACCCAATCTGTCCTGCTGGATTGGCCTCTGCAATGTGTTTTCATGCATAAGGATGTAACTAAGCTGTGTGACAGGCAGGGTCACTTTAACAGCCCTTGTGGCAGGGAAGGTCTTGGAGCAGTTTAGAACCAGGTCTGATTTTTTTTTTTTTTTCCTACTCCTTAGCCCCTTTTGCAAGGCAGCCTTTAAAGGAGCATGAGGGCTCTGTTTCAGCATGGGCAATGCTAGCCCAGAGAAATGGAAAATCTCATCCAGAAGACACTTATAACTTCTGATGGAAAATACTCTTGTCCCCGTTAGGAAAGCCTTCCAGTTCCCAGGGAGCTCCTTAAACTCTGGGATTTAAAGCCTGGACAAAGCCATTGTCCTTTGTCACAATGTGCTTTGGAGAAGTGGCTCTGCTTTCTGTGAGTAGTTATGGTGTGATGCTTATGGCTCCCGATTCCCCAAACAGCACCAGAAATGTTTACACTTAAATGGCTTCTTGCAACAGTAGCAAGGCATGACATCAAATGACCTTACTGTATTAGATATGAACTATATGTTATCCTGCCACATAATGAGGGTATTGGGGAGGTGGGGGAAAAACAAGCTCCTTCCATAATGGAGTTGAGACTACTCTTTACACAGGCAGGTATTTCCACAAAGTCTAAAAATCCTACAAGTTAGTGTTTTGATTTTTCTTTTTTTTTTTTTTTGCTTTGTTTTGTTCCCACTACTGTAATGGCCAGGCTGCTCCAGGACCTCAGTTCTCTAATGGTGACAAACCTTCTTCCAGTTTCTTTGGCCTAAATGGATTCAGGGCCATGCACCCTGCAGCCATTTGTTCTCATGCCACCATTGTATTTTGCTTGCAGGGCTCTTCCTTCCTTC